TTAGAGCAAGTTGTGCACTTGTGCGCTTTGATGCCAGTGTGGACAAGCTGGTGTAGCTTGAGATTACTCTTCTGCCCAAATGATTTGGAGCAAATCGTACACTTGTGAGCCCTTATGCCAGTGTGAACAAGTTGGTGTTTCTTGAGATTACTCTTGTGCCCAAATGATTTAGAGCATGTTGTGCACTGGTAAGCTCGAATGCCAGTGTGCACCACTTGATGTTTTGTAACATCACTTTTCTCCCCAAATGATTTGGAGCATGTTGGGCACTTGTGCGCTTTAATGCCAGTGTGCACTAGTTGGTGTTTTACTAAATTAGTCTTTAACCCAAATGATTTGGAGCATGTTGGGCACTTGTGCGCTTTAATGCCTGTGTGAACAAGCTGGTGTCGCTTGAGATGATCCTTTCGCGCAAATGATTTGGAGCATGTTGGGCACTTGTAAGCTCGAATGCCATTGTGCACTAGTTGGTGTTGCTTCAGTTTAGATAGAGTTGGAAAGCTTTTGTCGCACTGCTGACACTTTTGTTTTTTAGCTCTTCTCCGACGACCATTCCGCTGTTGTTCACCAGATGCATTGCTCGAGCTACGATTGACCACTGGCTCGGTGTTTTGCTGAGGTTCTGCAGAATGAAAAGTGTTAGTCAAAAGAATAAACAAAGAAACACTGCCCACTAACCACTGACTGCTGCATAACCATCCTCATCAATTTCAGTGGCATCCGAATCCGTTTCGTGTTCTTCGTTGACGCTCACTGTTTCACTCGCTTCGTTGACATTCTTGTTGGCATAAAAATCCTGTTCCAGACGCTCATGAAACTCATCATCGTACATATCAATTAAAGTTTCATTCTGATCTTCAGTTTTAATCACTAAATCTACAAAAAATAACATGAGTGAAGTAAAAGGAAAAAAATGAATCGTCCACTCACCATTTCCTTCTGATTGATCACTTTCCAAAACATAGCAATCAGTCTCCGAATCTTCTTCTTCTTTTACCACCATTGTCTTGGCCCCTTCTTCGACCTCACAATCAAACTCGTCGTACATATCATAAGTTTCATCCTGCTGCTCAGGGTCAGACATTTTCTTCTGTTGTACAAACACTGAGAAATTGAAAAGAGCTTTGAACCCCACAACTGAAAACAAGGTCAACAAAGGGAGACAGAATCCAAACAGAAGTGAGTATCAGCAGTCTTCCAAGCGGTCACCTGAGCACGTGTTTTCACTGATCAGGTTCATAGAGTACGTGACAAACGATCGTGTCAAAATCGTCTTACAAAAAAATTAAAAGTTACAACGGAGATCTGCATCAACTTTTGAATGATTTTCAACAAAACTTTTTAAATGAAACTTTACTGGTTATGGAATTTTTAAAATCGTGGTCGGTGTGAAAACTGGTGAGAAGGTTTTAACAAAACTGTTTGCTATGTTTGCAGTCATTACATCATCCGATGAGAACTAAAGATGAGGGATACCGAAGGAAAGACGTTGCAGACAGACGGCAAAGATGCGAGATTACTGCTGTTGATGCTGAGTTTGAAGATGCCCTTTGAGACCTTCCTTCCATTTGAACGTTTTTTCACAAATGGAGCACTGAAATGGTTTAGAGTCGCTGTGAACAAATCGTTGGTGTCTAGCGAGATCACGCTTTAGCCCAAATGATTTGGAGCATGTTGTGCACTGGTAAGCTCGAATGCCAGTGTGCACTAGTTGGTGTTCTCTGAGGGTATCAGGCCTGTTGAATGACTTGGAACATGTTGTACATTTGTGAGCCCTTATGCCAGAGTGAATCAGTTGGTGTAGCTTGAGTGTACCCTTCTGCGCAAAAAATTTAGAGCATTTTGTGCACTTGTGC